CTCCCTCCCTCCCTCCTTCCTTCCTCCCGTATACCCTATCTCCATCCTGCCTGCCTGCCTGCCTTCTCCCTCCCTCCTTCCTTCCTTCCTTCCTTCCTTCCTTCCTTCCTTCCTTCCTTCCACACACCCTTCCTACTCCCTCTCTCCTGCCTTCCTGCCTTCTCTCTCCTTCCTTCTTTCCTTCCTTCTCCCTCCCTCCCTCCTTCCTTCCTTCCTCCCGTATACCCTATCTCCATCCTGCCTGCCTGCCTCCTCCCTCCCTCCCTCCCTCTTTTGATTTTGAGAGATTGACAATATTTTAAAGTAGTGGTAAGCTACCTCGTACCTCTGGTGACTCACACGCTTGCAGTACTTCTGTTGCTGTTTCACAGGTTCACTAATCCTATCCAGAAACTGAACAGAATGGATAAAATTTGTCATGGTGGGAAAAGCTAATGAAAGAAAGAGCAAGGGACCAGATTCATCCGAGGCCAGCAGGGGGGAAAATTGTAGAAAATCTCCCTCAGTACATCCCGGTTGGGTGATGGTTCACAGTTCTGTTGACTTCTTAGCTTTCTCCCCTTCTGATCATGTCAGGCTTCATTCATGCTCCCCAGTGCATATTCTTGTCTAAATGTATAGAAATACACACACACACACACACACACACACACACACACACACACACGAGATATCGCTTTATTATAGAAGAGAGTACATGCATCTCATATGGCTGTGACCGGTAAAGAGTTTGGAAAAAACAGAATTTCAAAAACCATTCTCTGCATGCTTGTATCATGTGTGTTTCGAATTATTTCCCAAAAAATAATAAATGACAGGATATACATAAATAAACAAATAAATAAATACCCGGTGGATATAAGAAAACTGTCCTATCCAGGTCAATTTATTTGCACCTCTAGCCCACAATCCTCTTCCAACTCTTCTCCACAGAGGAGGCTTTGCTCAGCTGCTCTCTGATCCCTTTGACACAGAACCAAGTTCTCTCTCTGCGCAACAGATGTTCCACTATTGTCCCCGTGATCCTTGCCCAAATCCATACATACAAGCTACAGTGACATTTATTACTTTTACCATCAGCAGGTTCCCTGAATAACAGCTATCTTGCATGTGTGGAAGGCGCTCTTTGTATTGACCATGAGAGGAGTTGTTGTTGTTTTTTTAAAAAAACACCCTCTTAATAAAAATCCGACTGTAGGGACCAACTCAACACTCCCTTGTTCATATTAGCTTTGCATCTGCTTTTAATTTGGCCCTTGGTCTCGGGGCAGTGTGCCTGCTCCTTCATGCGCAGTTCTTGCTCTGATAGACCAGCTGGCTCAGCTACAGGAGGGGACTAATCTCTGGCCACATACTAACACTAGAGAGTGTCATTAATGAATTAATAAGGAGCCTGTTGCTTTCAGAAAAATCTATGCCTTCCCATCAGGAAGAGGGAGGAGGAAAGGAAAAGAAAACATTCTTTTTTTGTTTTTTTCTAGCTCTGAAAGTCATAAAACACGAGAAAGGTACATTAAGGAGATTGCATTTTGAATTAATTGCTTCTTTCTGGTGTTTCTGCCCAGCATCCACCCATCTCTGCTCTGCCTCTCAAAATTGGTCCGTATCTAACGTTACAGAGACCCATCCTATTGGTGGAAGAGAATGATGAGAAAATATTCACATAGACTCAAATTCGGAAAGGAAATGTAAAAACAAAACAAAAAAATTGCACGCCTCTTTAAACATTACAAAAGTTACAGCCTGCGTTTTAGTGGGAATAATGGGTGGATTCTTGTGGCGGCCGTTTGTCAGTTCTGCCTGTGGTCATGAAGCAGATCACCACAAAGTTGCTAAGGGTATTGTCACATGACTGTGACTTGCGACTTCCTGCCAGCTTCCCCATTGATTTTGCTTTTGGGGAGCTGCTGCAAAGGTTGTACACGTCGATTGTGTGACAGAGGGTCACTGTGATCGTTGGAAATGTACTGCACATGGGTTGCCAAGTGCCAGAATCACAATTATGTGATGGCATAGATGTAGCAACAGCTGCAACATTGAGGACTGGCAATAAGTCTCCTTATTTGGGCCAAAGTAGTTTTGGGCACTGAACAAACAATCAGTAAATGAGGACTACCTGTAGGTATTACTGATTAATTAGACAGTGGTGGTCATCTGAAATATCCCAGTAAAAAAGAAGATTCTATCTATTATTCTCATTTGTGAAAACTCGTTCGCTCTAACTTGTCTTTCCTGTCAAGCGCAGAAAAGTAGGAGTCCAGGCATTTCAAAAGAATATAGCTGTATTGTATGCTAAAGCTCTCTAAAAGAATCTAAACTACTAACAGTCAAAGCAAATAGGTGATAGATAAGAGAATTCCAGGTGGGCTGGACTTAGATCTCTTTTGGGCACCAAGGGACTTGAGACTTGAGACCAATGATCTCCTACATTTTCCTTTTTAAGTATTTTCATAAATTCATTTTTTTAAGTGAGACTTATGTGGCCCTAACTCACAATATGTGTATATTGTGGCTGCTTCCTGAAGAGTCCTGCCACAGCTGATCAATTCTCAGGCCTCCTGTGTGAAGGGGACATACTATTGTTTGGTGGGGGGGAAATCAAACAGTAAAAGAAAAAAAGTACCTTGAGCAAACTCACTGGAGATTGGGAGGATGGGTTTTAACACCACACCTACGCTCTGGTACCCTCGGTGTCAATTTCGGGATTGACACTTGGAAACCTGACAGTCAGATCACAATGGAAGGAAAATGTCTGATTGAGTTTCTCAGTCATCTAGGTCATGATTGTCCCAAAGGTGCTTTTTTTTCAAGAGGCAACTAGACTTCCTGGTTTTTCTTTGACGACATTATGCTTCTCATCCAAGAAGCTTCTTCAGATTTGGCTGGATGGCAGGGAATTCCCATTCCTCACCATCCAGCCAGAGCTGAAGAAGCTTCTTGGGTGAGAAGTGAAACGTCTTCAAAGAAAAACCAGAAAGTCCAATTGCCTCTTGAAAAAAAGCACCTTTGGGACAATGGAGGGAAAACTATAATATTTTTAATGCTCTTTACACCTACCATGCTAGCTTTAGGTTCCCAGGCCATGCCCCCATTTGGAAAGACTTACATAAAGTCATCCACACGGTCAAAGGCTGTAGAGATTCTCAGCCATCCAGATCATGGTTGTCCCAAAGGTGCTTTATTTTCAGGCCTTCCATTCCCCATCATCCAGTCAGAGCTGAAGAAGCTTCTTAGATGAGAAGCGAAACATCTTCAAAAGAAAAAAACAAGGAAGTCCAGTTGCCTCCTGAAAAAGCACCTTTGGGACATCCACGGGATCAAATGCAGTGCCAATATCTGCATAGCCAGTAGAACAAGAGTTCTGGTCTGTCACTATTGAAGTGTTTGAATTTGATCAGACTTTCACATTTTCTATTTCCTGCTTCTTAGTATGTAAGAGTAAACTCACTGGACATGTGAGAAAGAAGTTATTTTGTCTTATATTTGTCCCAGCAATGTACCATAAGTGTGATTTCAGATCTAAGGACTGCATTTGCTATGAATTTTACCTTTAAAAAAAAAAAGAAGAAGAAGAATAACTGTACTTGGAAAGAGGATGACCAGACTGAAATCAGTAGCTCCAATGTCAGCTATTCCAAAAATATGATGGGTTGACTGGTACAGCAATAACACCAGAGTTATGAACACACTGCGCCTTAAACTTTAGCTGAGATATAAAATGTGTTGTTGTTGTTGTTTTGGCATGGCAGTATATATTTGTGTTGATCTTGGTTCTTGATATGTATTCAGTACTACAGCTAGATAATTTGTTAACAAGGCCTTTTTAACACTTTGGACAGATGCACATACTGTTTTCAATCTTCACGGTTAATTATTTGATTTTGTATTAGTTGCTAGAACACCCTGACTTCTAATCACTGCTCATTGTTGGGAGTCCATTATATTCTAACTGTTTGAGTGCTCCCGTTGACCTTGAACTGACATTATAAGCTGTGTCTAATCTTTTCAGTCTATATTTCTAATGCTTCTTTTCTTCCTCCTCTTCCCCCCCCCCACCAAAACCACCCTTCCTTCTTTGTCTGATCTTTGATTAGCATCAAAATGGGGCTGCCTCTGAGTCCAGCAGCGGATTCCGCCCGCTCTGCACGACACGCTCTCTCTCTCATTGCCACGGCCAGGCCACCCGCTTTCATCACCACTATTGCCAAGGAGGTAAGCGAAAGACCCTTTGCCCGTGTGCTTCCCTTCAGGCAGGGACAATGGCTCCATTGTTTAGCAGCAAGAAACATTTGAGCCTCTATTTGCTTTTTTTTTTTTCCGCCTTCCTTTCAAAATGACTCGATGTCATGTATCTCTGAATTTGCATCTACGCGTACAAGAGGTTGTGTATTTGAACGTCTCAACGGTTGCAATGCCTCTACACAAAACATGCAGGTTTTTTTTTTTTTTAAAGTAGAAACAAGGAGAAAAATAATGCTTCCGTCAGGCTTTATATATCCCCCAAACAAATGGGCGTGCATATTTATTAAGAGTCTGTGGGGCTCTAGATTATCGAAAGTTTGCCAACTATAGATGAAAATTCCCATTTTCATCTATAGTTGGCAAACTTTGCCCTGTTTCTTTATATAATATTTCTTTCGTCACTTTATAATAAAACTGATCAACAAATCTAGAGTGGAGTCATGCAACTAGGAAGTAAGACAGACTCCTGTTACCTCTTATTGCTGTTCCTAGGACCAAGTAAATGGTCCACTATGGAGAAATCAAGTTAGTCTGCTTCCCAATATTTAAGACAATGCCGGTAGTCCTTGACTTACGACCACAACTGAGCCCAAAATTTATTTGGCTAAGCAAGACATTCGTTAAGTGAGTTTTACTCCATTTCACAAACTTTCTTGCCGCAGTTGTTCAATAGATCACTGCAGTTGCTATGTCAGTAACATGGTTGCTAAGTGAATCTGGTTTCCCCATTGACTTTGTTTGTCAAAAAGTCACAAAAAGGTGATCACATGACCCTGGGACACGGCCACGGTGATAAATCTGAACAGTTGCCGAGCATCCCATGACCATGGAGATGCTGCAACATTCGTAGGTGTGAAAAATGGTCATAAGTCACCTTTCTCCAGCGTTGTCGTAACTTTGAACAGTCACTAAATGAACTGTTGTAAGTCAAGGACTACCTGTAATACAATATGTATCAATAAATGGGCCCCACTTGATTAAAAGGTGTCCACAAAAGAGCCCTAAAAAAATGGATCGACAATATCAGCAAGTATTGCGGGCCCAATTGGCAAAAGAAAACTGAGGACCGTATTGGTTAGAAATATGTGGAAGAGAATTGTCTATCCTACAGTGGATAGGCAGTGGCTAAAATGATGATGATGATGGTGATGGTGATGATGATGATGATGATGATGATATAGCTCTACCATCTTTGTTCTTCCCTACCACTATACAAACATTGTATTCATTTTTGTAATATATGAACCAGATAAATGTAGGTAATTAGAGTGGTGCGGTGGCCTAGAGGTGGAGCTCTCGCCTCACAATCAGAAGTTCGATCCTAGGTAGAAGCAACTATTTCTCCCTTGGAGCACAATGAGAAGAATATATTTGCTGAATGTAACTCCGCATCGGTGATAGGAAGGGCATCTGGCCAGTAAACACTCAGCTCCATTCAGTTGCCCAGAATACACCCCACAAGGGATTATGGAGTCATTAAAAGTAGATTATAAATGTAGGTAATTACCCCATGTCAGTACAAATATAAAAAGGTGTCCTTAGAAGATTTGAACAACACAATATATTTCCTAATTTATAGTGATATTTTGACCTAATTAATTGTGTTCCTAGATTGAGCTCATTTACCCAATTAGATTATGCAGACTATAGATGGCTAACCTTGTAAAAACCCTTTGAGGGTATGTTTTATGAGATGGAATGGGAGAACCTAGGAGCAGAGTGAAAAGAAGAATCTGGCTAGAATCATTATGTAGCCACAAGAGAATTAAACCCAACTCCCCTTGAATAATGTTGACCCTTATCTAACTCTTAGCAGGTCCTGACCATCAGTTGAGAAGATTCATGTTCATAGGCATTTTAGCAATAAATCAGTTTAATTGCCCCTTCACGTGTAGACCTGATTTTTTTTGAGCCTGACATTTGTATTGCAAATTAGAGCTTCAAAATCCACAAGTTATAATGAATTAATTACCAGTACATATGAGCATATATGTTCTAATTAAAGCATGTGGAACAATGTGATGCGAACTACATTAAATAAATATCTATTTGGGCTCATTTGCAACTATAATTTGTTAAGAAGTATGGTTGAAGCACTGAGTATTCCATAAAGTTAACAAACTGGGACCTATATGCATCCCAAAAGCAGGGTGATACATAAAGCCCTAGGGCTTTGTTCTACTTATGATTGTGAACCTATGAAATTTTAATAGAAGATACCTGCAAGTACCCCTAAATATTTATTTATTATTCAAAATTTATGCCACTCATCTCCTCTACAAGGAGATACTGGGCAGCTTACAAATTAACTCTTAAATACCTTTGTTTTTTGTAGGTACACAGGCATACTGCTCTTCAAGCTAATACACAATCTCAACAAAATATTCATACCACCACCTTGGCTCGAGCAAAGGGAGAAATTCTGAGGGTTATTGAAATCCTTATTGAAAAAATGCCAACAGATGTTGTGGATCTCCTTGTAGAGGTATGTCAATATTTTATTATGCTTACATGTTAATAACAGTTGGTATTTATTGTATTCCCTGTATTGAAGAAGATAAGAGCCTTTGCATTGGCCTACCTGTTGGTACAAGAGATCATTGTCATTGCAAAATCATTTCAAAGGCATTAAATGATTTTAGTACCTACAAAAGGTCAGCAAGTCTTGCCAGACTAATATTGTTTTTAAAACATTTGATTGAATGACTTTCTTAATAGATTGTGGGAATGTTGCAGACAGACTATACTTTGATTTCACTGGAGCATTTGGCAAAGTGCCTCACAACATTTAGCAAATTAATTGAGGGCCAAAGGAGATTTCAATATAGATGGGTATAAAACTATTTTCAAAGTTGGTATTCCCACCCCATTCTTAACTGCATCACGGAAAGGAAGTTAGTGTGTCCTGTAAACATTCTAGCCCAAGTAGCTGATTTAGTCAAACAATTGTGTAGGGGAGAGGGTTAACTCAACATTTCTCTGAGTAGAGATTTGAAATACCAGAAAATTTGTGCGAAAACTGGAACTCATAGCTGATGATACAACATGGATCGGCTAGCTACCATACAGTGATATTTCTAAGTTATAGTAAAAAGCTAAAAGCAACACAGTGAAATTTGATAGCGACAACAGCAATGCCCATCATCTAGGAAAAAGAAGTCACGTGCATATTAATAGGGAAGGAGATACCTGCCTTGATAACAGTATGTAAGAAAAGAATATACAGTAGTTGATCACAAGCTGAACATGAATCAGCAGTGTGACATGGTCACTCACAAGTCACAGTAGAAATAGTTTTCAAATCATAGAAATAATTTTCTTGAAATCAGACCCCACTTTGAATGCTGCGTGTGTTCTGGACATTATATTTTGAGAAAGATTCAGGCAAATTAGAACAAATTCATAAAAGGAAAAGGACGAAATGGCTCCTGGAAACTTAGCCTTCTGATAAGAGACTTGAGGGACTAGGGCAAGGGTGTCAAACTCAATTTCATTGAGGGCTGCATCAGGGCTGTGGTTGACCTCGGGGGGCCGGGTGGGTGTGCTGACTGGGTGGGTGTGGCCGACTGGGTGGGCATGGCCAGCTTGACGCCACTCCTCAAACTGCTGGCATGTTTTTTCTTCGCATTGGGTAGACCGGGCCAAAGCCAAGCTGGCCCAATGCTCTTTGGTAGATTGGGCTGAAGCCATGCTGGCCCGATGTTTCCTCTTTGGATTGGGTAGACCAGGCCAACACGACATGGGCTGGCCCCTTACACTTTCCAGGACAGCCCCATGGGCCAGATTTGACCACATTGTGGGCCGGGATTCGGCCCACAGGCCTTGTGTTTGACACCCCTGAATTAGGGTATTAGCTTAGTTTCTGAAAAGTCAACTGAGTGTGGATAGGCTAACACTCTTCAAGAACCTGAAGCCTTGTAAAGTTACAGGAAGTTAGATTCAGGCTGAATGATAGGAAAATCTTTCTAAAAGGAAAACCAGATCTGACAATGGATCAATCACCAGAAAGTTTCTCTCCTTCATTCAAGCTCTCCCAAAAGTGGTTGGACATGGACAGCCATCTGTCAGAGATTTTTTCATTTGGAATCTTGTACTAAATAGTGAATCAGATACTGTAGTCTCAATGACACTTCTCAGTTATACTTTTAAGTGCTATATGAAGCAATTTGCACGGTTAATATAAAGTATTGCTTTGCATGAAGAATACCAATCTATCCAGGTTTCTCTACAACTAAAAATTATATTGGTAACTCAGAGAGCTGCTAATAATCAGCACAGACAATATTTCTGCTAGATGCAGACTTAGCATAAGGCAGTGTACTAATCACAAAAATATTTTTTTTTCTGCCTATGCATGCTATGTTTAATCCATGGAGGGTATTGATAGCTCAGTTTTAACACATTTGCATTCTTTTTACATGTAATAGCCAAAATCCCCAAATCCTGACTGTTGCATGTTTTAAGTCTTGCTATACAAAGGCTGCCCGAAAGTTCTTTGATGTATGAATTTTGCTGCATGTGATTGGAATAACGCATGGGATATTGTCTGTTAAGCCTCTTCACTTTGTCTTCCACTGGAAAATACTTTCCATTGGGATTCAGAATGCTGTCTTCTTTAACAATCCTGAAATAACTGAAATCCAAGCAGTTTACAAATGATACTTGAATTATAATGTTACCACTATTGTTCAGGTAGCAGTATTCCTGCTATATATGCTAATGATAGATGTCTCCTTTCCTATGTTTTATTATGACTCCTCAAAGTATGGTTGCAAAATGCTGTTCTAAGTATTTAATTGTTTTCTACAATAATTTGTTGTTGTTATCCATAGGTAATGGACATCATCATGTATTGTCTTGAAGGCTCATTAGTCAAGAAGAAGGGACTGCAGGAGTGCTTTCCAGCTATCTGCAGGTAGGATCATAAGAGGACTATGAGAGTATCAAAATTAGTAGCGAACAGTTTTTTACAACAGGTATCTGTTTCTGTCCTACACCAAGTAAGTTACCATCTCTTGACATTCTACTCCAGATAAGTTACCTAAAGGACCTCAGGGACCACCAAACTCATAATTTTATATCCCGCGGACCAGAGACCCTGAGAAAATCCCCCCAAAAAGTCTGCAGGAAAATTCCCCAGCCCGTTTTCCTACCAATCGATCATTCTTTATTTGGGATCGCAGGATACCGTCTCCAGCTCCGTTCTCAGGGGGAGAGAGAGGGGCTTTTGGCTTCATGCAAGGAAAGCAGCAGAAGCAGCAGAAGTCTTTCTTTCTCTCTCCCAAACTCCTCCAGAAATGAGTCTTTGTGAGACTTGTCACGGCGGCGCTACCTCTTGGAGCAGGATGCCTTACAGGGTCCCAAAGACTCATTTCTGGCAGAGTTTTGGGGAAAGAAAGAAAGACTTTTGCTGCTTTCCTTGTGTGCAGCCAAAAGCAGAAAGAGAAAGAAGTGGAAAGAAGCAGGCGAGGCACCTGGGGCAAATTCCCCTCTCTGCCCTTTCCCAGTTATTATATCCTTTCATATGTTCCCCAGGACAACAGCTCAGGACAAGATGAGGATAAGAGAAGGAGGCACTGCGTGTTTCTCAACATTTGGTTTCTTCTGAGTTTGAAGCACTCTAGAAAGCAGCACAGTGACAGCAGGAATGTGAAAATGGCAATAAATAAATTTGAATATTATTTTGTTTCCCGTTTCTATTCCAGCCAACTTCATAACTTGGAGAGGGGATACATTTCAGCTCTATATTAATATTAGAACAACTAAATATGAGCTAAATCGGGTAGCATCCACTGATTCGATTACTAACAAATTTCCCCCCCAATTTACTAATTTATTTGATTCTTTTTGTTAGTTTTTATTGTTTTTGTTTTTATTTTTTGTTTTAAATGTGGTTTTACTTTGTGTAAGCTGCCTCAACCCATCATGAGCGAATAGGTGGCAATATAAATTAATAAATAAAGAAATAAAGAAAAACAATCAAATCCTAATGAGGAACAGCAGTCTATATGTAACAGACTTGAGTTAAGGTAGCTTCGTATGAAAGTATGAGGATGGGGGGAAATGCCATTACAGTATGCATATAGTATATTGTTGCTGTAATGTATGGCATTGTGCTGACTTAAATAAGGGTTTCTGTAGTGCCTAGCTGACCTCAGAACTATTTGTATAAGAATTGCCCCTGTTTGCTTAATAATAGGAACCAGAAAACCCATTGATTGTGCTAATTTGAGTTATAAATCAAACTATACATGTTCTCCATGAGATCAAAGATAGTGAGATAAAAAAGATGGGACTTCAAAGGCAATAGTGTTTTGGTTTTTCTCCCCCCAAAAAATTATTTCAATCTGCATATGCACAACAATACATTAATAGTGTGGCATCAATATATCATACATTTTAGTATAGGCAAAATTAATAATATCAGTCATATCTCTCAATGCATATATTTCACATTAATTCACAATCCTTCAATGCTTATTTTCAACCTTTCAAAACTCTCTCCAAATGCCTACCACCATATCAGTTAAACATACCTAGTAATTCCATTATTCAATTTTCTCCCTGCTTTTATTTTATTTTTTTAAATAAAAAATTCTCATTTGGCAAGCGGCGTGGTTCCAGGTTTCACATCACAATACCAACATGACCATAGTTACCCGTTCATTATATTCGTTTAGTTTCATATTGCATCATCCTTATTATTGTTAAATATTAAGCTTATCTTATCCAATTCCAATTCATGTTATACTAATACATTCTCAAAAAGGCAATGGTGTTTTGAGAAAACAACGTCTGTGTGTTTTAGGAATAAATATTACTGTTTACTTTGTTATTTCTAAGTGTAAACTCCCTTGGCGTTGCTCCCCTTAGCTTGCCTCATCTTCAGGTACCCTTTATTATCAACATTCCTTCACCTTCAAGGGATTGTTGGGACTGAAACAGCAGTTTTACTGCAAGCTTCCCCCCTGGGTGGCAGTGAACAGATTTAAAGACTTATGGTTTGGCAAAACCTCTTGAACCAACAGGAATTTTCAATGGCAAACGAAGAGAGTCCTCTCCAATTCTGCTGAAATGTGGAAATGTTGAATAGGCCTTGTTGAATCTGTCCCCAGATCTGGAAGGAGAACTCAGACAACAGTGTGTTCAGTGTTATGAGTTGTCAGGATAGGAGTCTCAGGATGAGAAACTTTCCATATTGACATACGGGGGTGAGTTCCAAGTCCCCTTCCAACATTCCAGGGAATGTTTTGTATCAGAGCTGGTATTCAGCCAGTTCTGACAGGTTCTAGAGAACCGGTAGCAGAAATTTTGAGTAGTTTGGAGATCCGGTAAATACCAACTTTGACTGGCCCCATGCACATCTCTTCTCTGCCTCCCGAGTCCCAGCTGATCGGCTGAGTCTTCTTTTGTTGCCCTGCACAGGAGAACGGGGCTGGAAAGCAGATTAGTCGGGTGGGGAGGGAATGGGGATTTTACAGTATCCTTCCCCTGCCATGCCCACCAAGCCACGCCCACCAAATCATGCCACACCCACCAGCCATGGCCACAGGACCGGTAGTAAAAAAAGTTGAATCCCACCACTGTTTTTAAATGCTTTTCTCATCATTCCCCCTTACCAAAGTGTCAGGCAGTTCTTCCAGTTGGCCAAGGAGGAGGAGATGGCTCATTGGGTGCTCTCCTGAGAGCCATGAAGGGAGGGGAGACAATGTAAACTTATGTGTAGAAAGAAGAATGAGCCAATAGGTCACCAGTTGGCTGGTGCAATACAAAAATTCTACAAAACAAACAAAGAAAGGGGAGGAGGGAAGGGTTGAAGTGAACAATAATGAGCAACAAACAAATGCATAAGGGATTTACAAATGTAATGGAGGGTTTCATTTTCCAATATATCATTAGTTAATTAAGAGTAACTGAATGTATTATATCATTTCAAAGACTAAAAAAATCAGTATTAGAACACTAATCATTAAAGTATGAATATCTGTAACCATGATCAAATTGGTATAAATCACTGATTGTGATTGGAAAATTCTGTCCATATGACTAAAAGTCTCTTCTGATTTGAAAATCCTATACATTTGAAGCACAGACTCTAAACATAAAGAAATTAAATTTGACCTGTGTGTGTGGTACAAATCCATATGTTCATTTGTAGTCTAGCAGTGGTTTCCAAATTCAATTAAATTCTGTATCAGATTTACTTTTAAGATACGAAATTATTCTAGATGTCACCATATACCCCCACAATTTAGTAAACCTTTCTTCCAATGTGGAGATCAACCAGATTTTCTAGTAAAAGAGTACATATGTCTTCCTTGTGGTAGTTAGGATGCAGAAAGCTTTATTCAGTATACTTTAAGGGTTTTCTTTAATTTTGTGGTTTTTGCCTTTGTATCAGTCTTGATTCCTGGGTATTGCCTAGACTGCAGTTTTCTTGGCAACATTTTCATAACTTGTTTGCCTTTGCCTTCCTCCTACGGCTGAGAGAAAGCAGCTGGTCCAGAATTATCCAGTTGGCTTTATGCCTAAGGAAGGATCAGAACACACAGTCTCCCCATTTAAATTTAATACAAATATTACATGTTGAAATGATAATTCAACTTTTAACATTTGGTTTGTTCCGTCATGAATCATTTTCCAGAATTTTGCTTCACAACATTGCCAACAAATATATAAGAATGCGGGACTCAGAACCTCAAGCTGCCATTACTTCTTCATCTAACTCCTACCTTCTTCCAAAGATCCCAAATTTGTACAAAGGTTAGGCATCCCTGGTCAAGCTGTACATTTTAATGGATCATTGAATCGACAGAAGCTGACATAACCCATGTGTGCAGTTAAATTAAACAGAACAGTGTTCTGTGAATATGAATGCAAACTTAACAGCTTCTATTCAGCTGTTCGCAGATTCAAAATAAGTAAACAGATAATAGGGATGTTCTACAGATGTTATATAAAGACATCGGATTACAAATCCCATAATCCCCATAGTCACCATACCAGCCAACCAGCAGCCTATAGATTATGAGAACTACATTTCAATTCACTCACAGTTGGCCTGTTTAGAAACCTTCCTATGCCTTTTGGCTTTCTTGAGCCATTTTGCATGGATCATAGCTTGCATATCAGTGAGGCCTTAGGTTCTGCTGTTTAATATTGCTCAATTGTAGGTGCTCATTAAAATGCCAGACAGAAATCTTACAAGCTGAAACACTGAAATAATAGCAGCAATAATTGGGTTAGGCATAGGGTAATGTAGTTTTTGACATTTTGAAAATGTTAAAAGATAGTGGAAGCTCCTAAGCATGTATGAGCCTTAATTCAGAAAGATCATTTAGTAAAACCAAGATCCGAGAAAACATAAGATGGGCAGTCATACCAAAGACCAAAAAAACACAGAACCAGAACCAACTCAAAGTAGAGCAACCCAAAAAAACCTAAGGAGAGACCAAACCATCACCATCCTCTTAGCAGACAGAGTGAACCACCATTAGCATGAGCAGAACACAATATATACAAAAGCCAAAAAAACTTATAAACACCACCCCAATACTAAAATATGCAAATGAATATGCAAATGCATTGCACCAACCCAGAACATCAGCAAAAAGGAAACAGACCACCTAATGTGTGTGTTATGTTTTCACAGGTATTTATATGTATGGTATTTAGGTTTCTTCGGGTATTTTCCCACGTCTTAATATTTGTGCTTTTATTATAGTGACGTTTTGGCAGAATTTCATCTGCCATCCTTAGGCTTGTGTATTGGGTTCTTTTTAATCATGTGTGTCAGGCTTGGCAGCCGTTTTTTGTTTGAATTTGGTGCTGGCTTTCTGCTTTATTTGAATGGTTTTTTCCTCATCCTGATTGACTAGGAGTCTAGGTCTGTTTTTACTGGTTTTCGAGTTTCTG